GCACTTGTTTCAGCTGTTTGGGCAATTGCCCAAAGACTCTTCAATTCCAAGTCTTCGATTTTCAGTCTTGTTCTGTTCTACTTCTGCCTTCCTTCTACGCTGCAGGCTCCATTTTCATTTTCTGCAGGCTTCACTTTCATTTCTCAGCCAGTTATGGTTTTGATCATTGACGTAATCTAAGAAATTGGCTAAATCCCACTTCTACCTCTTCCTCTTTCTAGTTACTTCTGAGAAACTATCTTGGCCATTTGGTTCCAGTTTAAGAATTTAAGACTTGGCATTCAGCCTCCTGGATCTGCTCTGGTCTCCCAACTGAAGGGAACCAATTATTATAGAAGCACATTTATTGATAGGGTAGCATGGAGAGTCAGGTCACAATGTTCCTGTTACCATGCTCAGGACAGTTGGCACTCAGGAAAATTAATTTCCCAGAGGGAAGTAGTAAAATTAATCTTTTCAACTTTTAGTGCTGCTTTTCTTTGTTTTCTCTGCCCAGGTTTTCTCTCTGACTATTCAAAATCCTGAGACAATTGGGAGGTACTGCCTGCATTTAAAACTCAGATTTAGAAATTCAGGGCAACTACACAGGATTATCAGGAAAAGTAAAAAGGGTGGTTCTATAACTTGCCTAACCATGAGTACAACTTCCCATAGGGCTTGGAAGGCTCCAATAGTGTTTCTTTTTTTCTTTTTTCTTTTTTTTTTTTCAGAACCAGGGATTGAAATCAGGCCCTTGCGCTTGCCAGGGAAGCACTTTTTCCACTGAGCCATCTCCCCGGCCCTCCAATAGTGTTTCTAAACACTGTATGGTATGTATATGATTGCTAGGTTTCAGTGGAAAATACTGCAGCTGTAAAAGGTACTTTTAATGAGACACAGAGGACAGAGTGACTAGCTGGCATACAGACTGACTCCAGGAGTTGTCATGGAATGGCCTTATATTGGATCCAGTTTCAAGACTTCAGAACACCTTTAAATAGTGGAATGATCCTACTGAATGAATCTGACAGTGTCCAGCCAGGGCAGAGTATGCTTAGATTTCTGACTACATCTTTCTGCCAGTCTGGCTTTCAGGCTACAAGGGAGATCAGACCCTACTCTCTCACTAGCTGTGAGGATTTGCCTGAAGGTGGTCAAGTGCAAGCCTAAAGGAGTGCTCTCATTGACAGTCCAAAGTTATCAGCACTTCCATGTTACATTTCTACTGAAAAGTTGTGAGAAATAAGCCCCTGCTGCTTAAGCCACAAGTTTATGGTATTTTATTATCACAATCTGGTTAATATCTTTTCAATGGAATAATGTATATCTTTTACATGAAAAACACTAGTGATCTATCTGTAGACCATTTTTATTCATCTAGTGTCACTATGCCTTATTCAGTTGTCTATTGATGTCACAAGTGACTCAGCCTTCAAGAAGACATTCTTCCTATTAGGGAATTGATTAATAAATAATGTTTAGTCAGTGACTGAGATGTCAGGGAACAAGATAATAACTATGCTGGAAAGAAGAGTCTACTGTCAGAAATTGAGTTTATAAAGTCAGTGGATCAATACCAAAGGCTGAAGTTGAAGAATGAGGACAAGATGATGCCTAGAGTCATTGGGTCAAACAGGGAGAAAGATAAAAATTACACAGATAATCATCTTAAATCCCTGTTCAGTGGGGAAAAGACTGATAATAATGTCAGTGTATACACAAATTTGGGGTTGGGTGAGTATACATGTGCTACAACACCAGGAGTACAGCTGTTAAGCTACAACATACAAACATGTCTTAAAAGTCCTTGAATCGAAAAATGTAATCCAACAATTCACAGACTCAACTGATCATGAACTTTGAAACACTACTAACAGCTGAGGTTTAATATGGCCAACTAGATGACACAGCATGTATGATGAGCTGGAAACAAAGCATCCTTCTTTCAAATTACAGGAATTGTACGTAACTATACACAGCTTGATTGTGACCATGCACTGTATAGCTCTGAAGAGACTTAAGAAAAATCTCAGTCAGAAACTTCTATCCTTGAACTAAGCTTAATTTATGAATAGAAAATTTGTAGTATAATTTTTATCACAATCTCTTCTAAGTGCTCATGAACGATGGTTCCCGGGCTGTCTGTGAATAGCAAAACTCATGGATACTCACATCTCTCTAGAAATGGACATAATACTTGCATATAACCTATACACACCCTCCTATATACCTTAAATCATCTCTAAATTACTGTGTTTATACTATCTAATGTCATCCAAAGTCTAAATAAGTACTTGTTGGCTGTACTGGAGAAGGAAGACAAGGCACATGCTTAGTACAGAGGCACTTACGGTTTTTTGATATTTTATTTGTTAACTCTTTAGATGTGGAACTTGCTGATACAGAGGGCTGTCTGCAACTCTTAAATTTATCCAATACGTACTTTCTTGTAAGCAGTTTATGAAAAATATGTCATGGACTAAGACTCAGTTGCTAGGAATAATTGCAGAAAGGAACTGCATTTGAGGACCTGGAGAGTTTCACTGGGTGGAGTCTACTGTATAACTAAGAGACAACAGCTGCTCTGTGAGGCTGTGGTACTGAACGTGCTGGAGGACCTGGGTGGGCCTCCTGGCAGAGCCTGTGGTCCACAGTTCATGGGGTTCTGAGAGTCTTTTATTGCTCCCTCCCTATAAAATAACTCCTGGCTCTCATCCTGTGACAGTTGCCTGGGAATCATCCCACGGTGCCCAGCTGCTCTATGATGTTGCTGCCACCTCAGTCTTAGGCAGAGGAGTGAAATTTCTAGTTCCACCATTCTGGGTCAGAACTTCCTCACATGCAGTGATCTCATAAATAGGGTACTTACTGTATGCTGAGTTGGAAATAATGATAAGAAACAGACTCAGCTTAATGACAGCTACAAATGATGTGTATATAGGCAAAATTTGTTTTTATAGCAATTTATAGGTGTAGGACTTTAAAATATGAAGCATGATAACCCACTCCAAAGGACATAAGAGAAATAGCTAAAAATTGGAAGGTCTCAGTTCTGTAGGGATGGTTGGTTTAGATGCTCCTGTAATGCATGAGGAATAAAAACTATGAAAACTCACTTTTAATTTATGCATTTACTTGAAGTGATACAATCCTTAACAGATTAAGCAATAATAACAATGGACTACTTTTATTAGCCAAGCCAGGATGTGTTGTCCTTCTGTCCCTTGCTATAGACTATTTGAAAAACAAAATATACTTCACAAATTTATTTTGCAGTACTAGGAATTGAACTCAAGGCCTTCACACTAAGCCGTGGCCCCAGAACTTTTTCATTTTGTATTTTAGAACAGCGACTGGGCTGGGGAGATAGCTCAGTGACTTACGTGCCTCCCTGCAAGCCCAAAGTCCTGAGTTTGATTCCTGGTACCAGGAAAAAAAAATGAAAAAGAAAAGAAAAGAAAACAGAGACTAAGTTATTAAATTGCCAACACTGGGTTCAACCATGGATCCTCCTGACTCTGCCTCCCAGAGTGCTGGGATTATAAGTATGCATAACACACTGAGCTTGAAATAGCTTATATTTTTTTAATTCTTAAGAATTTTTATTAGTACCTGTTTGCAGTACATAAAATTAAATTCTCCTTGGAGAGTTATGCATATGCATAACACATCTTAATTCTTTTGATGTTCCCTTCGCCTTTGCATCTCTCGGCCCCTTCCCATTTGTAAAAGCTCTTTGTTTATATGTAGGAATATTTAGTTCAAGCTTGTGGAGGGCATAAACTCCTATATTTGAGACTGAAAATAGAATACTTTAACATATGCCATATTTTCCATTATGTAGTTAAAAGGAGCAGAGCATGCAAATATATACCAGAAATCCTAAGGTAATTTTCATTTCTAGAAAAACAGCGAAGGTTCTACACAAAATAAGTTACATTGCTAGACATTCACAAACTCCTAACAAAAGTTCATGATTTCTTGTAAAAGAAATGTACCAGCCACTTCAGGATGTGGGTAAGACATTCATGTTCCTGTGGTAACAATTTCCCAAACAAGAAAAGTAGTTAGAAAGACAAATCTTTGATAAGATATAGCTTACTAGGTCTCTTGATTTACGAGAACAACAAAAGTAGATTAAGCTCTTAAGAAACAACTTAGAAACAAATATCCTATGAACCAGCAAAATCTATCAAATAAATGTGTTTTAGTCTCTCAATTAAAAATGACTTTTTAATTTAGTGTGAGAAGAAATACTTTAACATAGTTTTTCCTTTTCAAAACATTCTACAATATGGCAGTTAACCTTAGGTTGCTGTAATAGGTATGCTTTATTGTACGAAATAAAAATCTGGGGGCCGGAGAGATGGCTCAGTAGGATAAGCGCTTGACTGGCAAACGTAAGGATCTGAGTTCAATCCCTGGTTCCACCAAAAAAAAAAAAATGCATTTGACCGAAATAAAAATCTGCCTGTGTTCCATAAGGTAATAGTCAACCCTAGATAAGCAGTAATTTTCATAGGGACAAATGTGGAACCAATCAATTAAAATGTGGTATACAGTTAGTTTCTCATAATCCCATAATCTTTTCTAAATTTTTTACCACAAATTTATTTTTTAATATTTTTATTACTGCTACTTTATGCTTTTACTGTTATTTTTTCATTTATTCATTCTAGCATCCAACATTCATTTATTTACTAATTATCAGCAAATGATTGAGTTGATCATCTTTTTCTTTACAAAACTCTGAAATGTAGTGCTTCCCAGAAAATGTATTTAGGTGTATATTGTCCAGATTTTTCTTTAATCTTATTGGGACAAAAAACAATAGGCTGTGAATAGTTTAGGTATCTAAAATTTAATAGTTTATACTTACAAGTTAATTGAAGGAAAAATGCAAACAAAAAGTATCTATTTTCAATAATAGAAATGAAATAAAATAATACCATAGAGTTAGTACTAAAGAAAAATAATTTATTATGTTGTTTTCTCTTTAGTTATTTCATACGAGTATGTACCTTATAATCTTCATAATCTTTTTTATCTAGCAATTCTCTTTTATCCAGTTCTAGAAGATGTTCCTCAGAGGGCTTAGCGGGTATATCCTTAAGAGAAATTTGTTCATATATGGGTTTTCCATGAAAAAACAGTTCCTTCCAATCATGCATCATCTTAAGAGGAATCAGGCTATTGAAAAAAAGCATAAACAAGTATAGGTAAGCCAATGTTTAGTCAAACGTGCACTTTAAATCTTTGTCTTTATAATATTTATATAATTAACACTTTCATTAGACTTAGAAATGATTGAAATATTTTTAAAGATTATCACAGGTATAAGAGCCATACAACCAAAAAAATATTATTCTGTTACAAATTACATAAAATATTTAAATTAACAGTATGATAAAGGGTCCTTAAAAAGCATTCAGTCTGTGCATTTTGCATAAAAGAACATCGATTGTGGAACATTTAAATTATGTACTAAGGTTGCAAAGTCATTTCATGTCAAAACTGGGGATTGGAGAACCTCAATCTGTTAAATGTACTCCTTATTTTAGATATATGTCTGTTGCAGTACAGTTAATGGGAAAGTCTGAGGAACCAATGGCTTTAAGTCACGTTCATTCAGACCTCCTAAATTCTGGACATCTTGTCTGCTATTAGTTATGTAATAACAAATCGTGTCTCTAACCTCATGCAGTAGGTCCTAGAAAAGAGCAGCCAAAAGTAATTGCACAACTGAGTGAGAGTATGAGAGTACTGAATGAGAATTACACAGAATGAAGACCTAACAGTCTTCCCATCATGGTTGATATCTGAAATGTTCCCCTAAAGTCTCTTGTCTTTGGAAGGTGACTGAAATACAGACGCACCCTACTCTTCCACAGATGTATCCTCTGTGTTCAGTAGCTGCATATGAGGGTGGGAGACAGACCCTGGGTGGAGGTCCACAGGGGCCGTGGCCTGGCGAAGTACAGCTCCACTCCCAGGTCTTCCTATGTTTGCTCCCTGCTGGCTGCCGTGGGTGGACTGCCTCTTCCTCTGCTGTGTCCCTTTGCCTACCTGTTGTGTCTTGGAGCTATGGTGAGGCCCATGGCTTGAAACTGTGAGACAAAAATAAGCCACTTCTTTATGTTGTGAGTTTGGGGTATTTTCTCTGTGATACACAACTGGCAAAACAATGACGTAAATTAGCTTCTTTTTTTTTTTTTTTCTTTAGGAAATCTCTGAAGAAATGATAGCTAGACTATGGCCTAAAGAGTGCCTAAGAGGCAACCAGAGCAGAGAGACCAGCAGTCCAGGAGGAAGACAATAGAAAGAAAGAAAGAGCTTGATCAGATTCAAATGAATCTCTTAAAAAAGTGCACCTAAAGTTTGAAATTGGTATTTTATTCTAATACTTGCTACACCGTGGCTGCATTTTGAAGACAGCATGCTTACTGAGAAGCGCCAAGACAGAAGGGCAAATGTGGCATGATACTGTCAACGTGCGATCCATACGACTGACAAATTCACAGATACAAAACAGACTTGGAAGCCTCAGGGCCTGGGAAGTGAGAGAGGGCTACTGTGGGACGGATCCAGACCCAGCGATCTTCCTGCTTGCGCGACTGTGTGGCGAGGGGTCTTGAAGAACTGCCTTCATATTCAGGCTCTCTTTCCTGTCTCCCTCACTTGCTAAGGCTGTAAGGTCTAAAAATGGCCTACGTTCCTCCTTATAGCTTTTAAACATTTTCTTTTCAATCACAACTCTGCTATGACATTTGTAGAGGCTCTAGGCTTCTGTGACTTCCATACATTTTGAAAAAAAAAAAAAAAAAAGATGATCTTGATTCTAAATCCCTCACATTTAAGAATATGAAGATAGAAACTTGAAATGCCAAAGAGAAGAATGCTTTTTAAATAGCTTCTTTCATCTGAAGGATCCTGGCCCCCTTGTCCTTGCCTTGGATTCTCATTTTTCTCTGGAATCTGACTTCGCTGCTCCCCTCCTAACCCACTGAGGTTCCTGAGTAAGAACAGGAAGACGTTTCTACTGCAAATGGGAAGGTGGCCATGAGCCAGAGGGAGTGGAGTAAACATGTAGGAATAAAAATAAAGCAACATTTACATATAAAAAAGAAAACCTTGTGCGTGGGCTCCTGGGCTGAAGGCCTTTGGTGTTATAACTAAAATTGCTAAGATTGATGTGAACATTTGAACTAGCTTTTCCATTCTCTCAAATTATCTAAATCCCATCAGCTTATTTCTTGTATCAGCTTGGTCTAGTGAAGAAATTATTCATTCAAAATAAAGCAAATGAAGACAAAATGCAGTCATATCAAACAAGTGGTTCTTCAAGATGATTGGACCTTATTGTTTAGGTAGTATTGATTTCTTCTACACTCTCATTTTTTGAAATATTTTTCCCTTTTAATTGTATTTCTATAATTATTTATTTTTTGTGGTACTGGGATTTAACTCAGGACTTTGCACTTGCCAGGAAGATGCTTAAGCCACTGAGCTACATTCCTGGCCCTTATTTTTCCCTTTTTGAATAATCATTTTTGGAGGGGCTGGGGAGATAGGTTGGTGGTATAAGTTCCTGCCTGGCCAGCAAGGTCTAGATTTTGATCCCCAGTACCAAATGCTGTGCTGGCCAGAGAACCGCAGGCATGCTGGGCCAGCAGGAAACTGGGCATGGAGGTGCATGCCTGCAATCCCAGCACTGGGGAGGTTGAGACAGGAGGATCACTGTGAGTTCAAACTGCAAAGAGAGACCCTGTACCTAAATAAATAAATAAATAAATACAATTTTAAAAGGATAAACATATTTTCTTTAAATAGCTTGGTCTTGGGGCCGGGGAGATGGCTCAGTAAGCACTATCCTGGCAAGCACAAGAGTCTGAGTTCAATCTTTGGTTCCACAAAAATAAATAAATAAGTAAATAAATAAATAAGTAAATAGCTTGGTCTTAAAATCCTAGCTATGCCATTTGTTTTTACCCATTGTCTTTGAATCCTGTAGCCTACTTACATCCATATATGCTTTAACCGGGTGTCCTCCAATTGTTAATTTTTAAAAACTATAGAGTATATGCAATGATTATTTGGAAATGCGTTTTTGAATTTCCTACTGGTAGAACTTTTTTCCCCTATCTCCATTTTGCTGATTTCTGTTTTCATTTCATTCTGGTCAGAAAAAACACTGTCTGATCTGCATTCTGGTAAATTTGTCAAGGTTTGTTCTATGGGCTCAGATCCATGTGGTCTGCCGTAGCAGAACTTCTGCAGCCATATAAGAATGTACATCCTCAGATGTTGTTTAAGTGTCCTACTATGCTGCTTGGACCTTAGTGTGTTGGTAGTGTTGATTTCTTCTACATTCTCATTTTTTATTGTTTTCTATTAGTTGTTGAAGTCTCCATCTGTGACTGTGGATCTTTCCATTGATATTCCATCTTTCCATTGGTATCAGTTTCTGTTTTATATATTTGCAGTTATATTGGTCAATGAATACACAATGAGCAATGATATATTCTTTGTGTATTAATACTTACATAATGTTGCTTTCTGTTTATGATTTTCTTTGCTTTGAAGTTATGTTTTATTTATATAAAGACTGTTGCTGTCATTGTACTACCATTTGCATATGTGTTTTTCACTTTTTTATCTTAATCTGCCTATATCATTCATTACATTTGAGTTGAATTTCTTGTACAGCACTATGTTTTTTAATATACTCTCCCAAACTCCCTTAATTGATATTTTTAGGAACATAAATATTATGTTAAGATTTAAATCTATAAGTTTATTTTTTACTTTCTGGGTGTCATTGGTGGTTGTTTATATTTCATTTCCCTGCCTTCCTGTGGGTTAAATGACTAATTTATTTTTAGAATTTCATTTTGACCCACCCACAGTGTTTTTTAATTTATCTCTTGGCATAAGTTATTTAACACTTATGCTAGGCATGTTAGAGTCATCTTTTATTATTTCGTGGATAGAAACCTTAACTCCAAATAGGTTTCTTTACCTTTATCCAACTACAAAACCATTCTTAAGTGTTTCTTTTCTATATATCCAGAACAACATCAGACAGTGTTATAGCTTCTGATTCAAATTTCTAAACTCAAAAGGTAAAGTAAATGCTATTCTATTTATTCATAGTTTTGCTGTTCTTTCCTTTTTTCTGATATAAGATTCCTCCTTAAAAATATTCTTTCTGTTTATATAACTTCCTACAGCTACTTAAAGGTAGGTGTGCAAATAACAAGTTTTCTTAGTTATCATCATCTAACAACATCACATTTCATCTTCATTTGCCTTTGCAGGGGAGGAGAGCCCTTTTCTTTTCTTATTTTTTATGTATTTTAGTACAAGGTCGACAGGGTCTCACTACACAGATCTGACTCGTAGTGATTCTCCTGTTTTCAGCCTCCCAAGTGCTGGGATTACAGGTGTGCACCACTATGCCTACTCTCAATCACTGTCTCAGTGCACCCTGGGAGCAGAGTGGGCATGGCACACCTAGGACTGAACCCTAGTCCCTGCATCTGGAGTCCTTTTCATTCAGCACTTGAAAACTGTGCTTCTTCCTTGTGGTCTCCGTGGTTCTTTATAAGAAATCTTCCATGGTTTAAATTCCTTAGTTCCTACAAGCAAGCTGTTGTTTTTCTCTGGTTACTTTGCAGACGTTTTCTCTTTTAGATTTGAGGTATTTAACAATGATTTGTCATTACATATTATTTACTTGTGTTAATCTTGTTCAGAGCTTGTTCAAATTTCTGAATTTGTAATTTATACATTTAATGAGACTTGCCGTATCTTGGAGAAATTTGAAAGTTTTACTTCTTTGAGCAGCCTTTCAGTCCCAACTTCCCTGTCTTCTACTTCCAGACTGTACTGACATGCGCAACATCTCAGATTGAGCAGCCCCACAAGGCCCAGATGGTAGAGGCTGAGTCACCACGGTGGCACTACTGGTGTGCAGGCATAGCAAATGGGGCTAGTGAGTGGAAGTCAGGCCCCTGGCAGTGTGCCCTTGTGTTCTCTCTTTCACTTTCTGGCCACTATGAGGGGAATGTGCCTCTTCTGTCACATTCGTTCATCATGATGTACCACCATGCTCTGGTGCCAAAGCAACAAGTGACCATGAATTGCAACCTCTGAAACTTTGAGCCAAAATAGACCTTTTTATGAAATGACTTGTCTCAGGTACTTGTTATAGTGCTAGGATGCTGACTATAGCAATACAGATGGCCAGTGTCTGGGCCTTTGTTAATATTTTTGTCTACTTTTCTCTGTTCAGATTATATATTTTTTTTATTGCTCTCTTTTTAGTCTAGTCATCTTTTTCTCTGTTCCTTTCATTCTGCTGTTGAACCTGACCAATGAGCTCTTTAGACTTTTGTCTCAAATAATATCTTTTGATTCTTATGTATACTTTGTTTTTCTGCTATGACTAAATTTATGACAAGGTTATTTAATGTTTCAAAGATGTTCATAATTGTTCACTGAGTTATTTTGCTGTGGCTTTTTAAAAATATCAGATAATTTTAAAATCTCAGTGCTGCCATGTGTTCCTTTCCTAGGGGTGCTATAAAAATGTGTCACAAACTGGAATAAAAAACAGATTTGATGAAAATCAGAAGTTTATCATAAAGTTATTGGTAAGGCCATGTGACTTCTGAAACTAGAGAAATTCTTCCTTGCCCTTCCAGGCTTCTGGTGGTTTATTTATTTTTTTAAAGATGTATGTATTAGGTATAGGGTCTCACTATACAGCTCAGACACATAGTGATCCTCTTGTTTTCAGCCTCCCCAGCACTAGGATTACAGGCATGTGCCACCATGCCTTGACTTGGTGGCCAGCTCAATGTGCCTGGGTATGGATCTGGTATGTGGCTCTGACGGTCAAACCTGGGTCCCTGTGTTTGCCTCAGCAGGTGCTTGGTCTGCTGAGACATCTCACTGGCACTTTTTGGTGGTTTATAAGCAATGTTTGGCAATCCTTGGCTTTCGGCTGCTGAATCCTTCCCTTTGTTGTAATATGGTGCCTTCCTGTGTCTTGTCATTTTAAGAACACTAGTCATAAAATTCGCCAGTGTGACCTCATCAGTATTAGTGATATCTTCAGTGATCCTATTTCCAAATAATGTCACACTGTGGCTCACACCTCTAATCCCAGCACTTGGAAGGCTGAGACTGGAAGACCACTGTGGGTCTGAAGTCAGCCTGGGTTATAGAATGAGTTGATAGCCAACCTGAACTCTGAACTACATGGTGAGACTCTGAACTACATGGTGAGACTCTGTCTCAGCCAAAAAAAAAAAAAAAAAAAAAAACCAAAACAAACAAACAAACAAACAAAAACACAACACCAAAAACAATCAACCAGAAACAATATTTATAAGTTGTCCTTGTATATTCAGCTTGAGCCCTTTTGGGTTCTTTCACACTGAGTAATTTTTAAATAGATTTTAAGATACTGGATTTTATATAAACCTTCATCTTAATGTTTTTCTTTCTTTCTTTCTTTTCCATGTTTTCATCCATAAAAAACACATCCATTGTGGGTAGACTGTACATGCAGATGACACATTTTGTTTTTAATAACACTTTCCCCAGCCCCAACATCTCTTGGTCCCTTTGCCGTTTTTCAAAGAACAATCACCCTATTTTTTAGTGTCCATTTTTTAACCTGTTTTTTTTTATTTGCTTATGCTCAACATAGGAAAGAAATGGAAGTCACGAAACAGATCCAAACAGATATCCAGGATATTAAATATTCTACTGAAAGTATATGCAACAGATTGGATGAAGGCAAAGATAGAATATCAGATCTAGAAGACAGGATTGCAGTTATCTATCATGAAAAGAAAGATACCTTAAAGTAGCTAGGGACCATGAAAAAAATCAGTCAAATCCAGGAAGCTCACTACTATGCCAAGCCTTAAAGCCAAAAACCACTAACCAGTTTCACCTTTCTCCACTGTTCAGTCTTCTTATGTAAGTTTCAAATATGTTTAGGAGTTAAACTGTACTTAGTAGGAGGAAGAGTGAAAACTCCATCTATTCTATTGTGGCAAAGAAGAATGGCATTTTATGGCTTAAAGTACAGACCTTTATTTGCCTAGAGAAATCAATCTGTTTTATTTTATATGTTTTCTCCTTTGAATTCTCATGTTATAGTTTTACATTTAGCTATCCATTTTGCTTCTTGTAATTTATTCAGTCATGATGATTTGTGTCATTTTTTTAAATTGTTGTGTAGTTCAGCTTCCTCATAATTTGGTTCATATAATTTGTTAACTTTTGCATTTACTTTAATCTGGGAAGCAGTTTAAACTTCTACTCCTTCCATTCCCCTATTTTTACAGTTTTTTCTCAATCTGTACCTTACTACTTTTTATTTTTGAAATGTCCCCATCATTGCATTATATTGTTTGGTAGAATTTTATGTCATGGGCTATGATGGTGAGGACTGTGAATAAAGCCCCTGCTTCATGTGTTGGGGTGATGAGATGCTTTTATTTTTTCTCACCCTGTAGGCAGCATGGCTCCCATGGCCTCCACCAGGGATCCTGAGAGCCCCCATGCAACTGGATTGCATCATCCTTGGCCTCGATGAACTAGCCTTACCTAGACCCATGGTGCTGTCTATCTAAAAACACCACAAGAAAAAGGTCTATGAATCTAGATACTACAAATGTTTTGTTTGAAAAACTTTTTTCCTTTCTCTCTCCCTTCCTTCCTCCCTCCCTCCCTTTCTCCCTTCCTTCCTACTTCCTTCCCTTCCTTCCTTCCTTCCTTCCTTCCTTCCTTCCTTCCTTCCTTCCTTCCTTCCTCGCTTTTTTGCAGATATGCTGCAGTAGCTCCACTACACTATATCCTATACCTTTAGTGAGATCACAAAAGAAAATGACTTTTCTTTTTTCTTTTTTTTTTCTTTGTATTTAGTAAGGGTCTACAGGGCCTACATGGTCTCACTATGTAGACTGGACTCCTAGTGATCCACTTATATTTAGCCTCCCAAGAGCTGGGATTATAGGTGCACACCACCACGCCCAGTCTCAATCGCCATCTCAGCAAGCCCTGGGGGTGGGGCCAGCATGGCAGGCCAGGGATCAAGTCTCCTACCCCTGTGTCTGCCTAAGTAGGTGCTTTAATCTGCTGAGCTATTTGGTCAGTGAAATAACTTTTAAAAATTCTATTCTTTTAGCAAATGTTTTAAGTAAATTATAATAGTCATCATGAAGTGTGGATAAATTAGATACAATTTTTAAATTAGAAAGGACATATATACCTGTCAAGTAAAGCTAGTAAGTGAGTGAAACAACTCAACAATCAGTATCGCTCTACTTTTTAGTGTCTTGGGACATTTTTTGCCTTTCTTTAATTATCAAGCCTAGTATCTACTTTATAATCTCACCCTTTTATTACCTGTGGCGTCTCTACTGCATTAATTGTAGAAAGCAGTACTTACTTATTTGTTAGCATTCGGTAGTCTGCTACTTTAGTGGACAAATCAAGTATTTGGTCCAAAATGTCTTCACATATCTTGTAATGCTTTCTATAACGAGCCTGGGTTCTTTCCACAGCAATCTGTTCATGAACTTGTTTCTCTCTGAGGATTTGCTCTTCAAAATCAATCTTGGCTTGTTTTGCCAAAGCCTAACAGGGATAAGTTACATTTTTAAGTCACTGTTACGCTGCAATGATACAACTGAAAATAATGTCATCATTTTAATAGCCAGAAACACCCCTTTTAAATAAAGATGCCTTTAACATCATGTTAGGGTTTGTGTCTAGTTGTCCCCCAAAGCCTCATGTAGTCTCCTTCATTTTGAGTGTCAGGTATTTGTCCCACCAACAGGAGAAAAATAACTGAAACACATCAAGAAAAATTAACCACAATGAGCACTTCCATTAAGTGCTGACTATGATATGAAGGGAAAGACAATATCAGAAATATTCCATCTCATCAAGAAAATAATATAATGAACAGTGATTTGACCAGGGAAATATCAATAAGGTTAACATGAAGCTTTTCATAAAGAAGTGCTGAAAGCCCGGGTTGCAAGCAATCAGGAATCACAGAGAAGACGACAAGTCTGCACCAGACCTCAAGTACAGCAGCCCCCATCATCTCTGGATCCTCAACCACAGCACCAGCTGTGGCCACCATCCTTTTTCTTAGGAAATTCCATAAACATAGCCTTCTACTTGGAAAATATTTTGAAAATTCCTTCTGTTACATTTGTAATAAGCTTATAGATATGTAAACTCATCCGTGGAAATCTCAATTCTAAAGAAAGTGATGAAATATTCAGCATTTGTCATCACCTTCTTCAGGCTTTGTACCAGTACTTTGTTCCAGGACTCTTTTCTCAAAGTGCAAAGGTCAAACCCAGGCTGGCAAGCTGTAGTAACAAAATACACAACTGATGGGATTCAAGTGACCAAATACTGCTTTTGAAACTGCTATGCCAGCTTCTTGGGAAATTTGATGATGTGTTGTCTTGTGTCAAGAATAAAACTTGCCTCCGGTAAATTAATCTAGGCCTTTTTTTTTTTTTTTCCGGAACCAGGGATTGAATTCAGGCCCTTGCACTTGTCAGGCAAGCGTTTAGTGTACTGAGCCATCTCTCTGGCCCTGTAACTTAATCTAGCCAGTGGGAAATGAAAACATGCAGGCTTTAGGGGAGTCGTGATCAAAATCAGGCTCTAGTTTTTGTATAGATTGAATTCACACTGTGAAAACTTGGACAAGTCCGTTAGCTTGCTTAAGCCTTCATTTTCTTATAGCAGGGTGTTAATAATTCTTAGCACACCCAAGAAGAATAACCATAGTGTCTAATCAGAGCAAGTAGTAAATCATGCTCATAAATGACTAGCTGATGCAGTGAGTCACTATGTATACGGTCCACCTTCTGAATGTTTATTTTATTCTAATTGCGAAACAGGTTGGGCTGGATGACTTCTGAGAACAACTCAGTACATTTGGGAGACTCAGGAAATAACACTGGAATTTGTCCTCCTTCCATTATTCTTATAAGCCCTGTTTCCACAAAGAAGAAGCTTAATTTAAGTACAAAGTTTATGGCATGATATATGAGGTTTTCAGAGGCAAAGGGAATCCAAGAGACTGGAATCTTAGATGAGAATATACAGAATGTGGCACAAAAACAATACCTGTGAAGCATGTAAAATTACTTAGGCTGTGATGAACCCAAAGCCTTGAAGGCAACACCAGAACTTTCCTATGGGCAGGAGAGTAGTTCCCAATCTTGGCTTCTGTTATCACTTGTCTCCTGTCCCACTCCTCCACCTTCCAGCATTTTCTTCTTTGCTTCCTTCCTCAGTCCCTTCCTTTATTTTCTCCCTTTCTGGGTTTCTCCCTCCCTCCATTCCCTTTGTCCACCTAGCTAACTGCTCTTTCTTACTCTTCTCCACCTCTGTGATCTACTCTGTGCTAAACCCACCACAATTTCCTGTCTTATTATAGCAAAGTAGGTTGCAGTCCTAAAAAGAGAAAGCAGGAAAGGTAAAAGGAAGTCCGTGGGAGGTAGTAAATCTTAGTTGTTATGAATTTAGACTCTGGAGTCTGATAGGGCAGGCCTTGCTCCTGATGCACCACTGATGAGCTGCATGACTTGGAGCTCCCTGCGTTTCACTATCCTAACACATGAGATAGAGATAAGGATAGACTCCACCTGTAGCTGCTGCAAGAATTGTGTATATAAATAATGAGCATGGTGCAATTCCAGACTCAAAGCAAATGCTCAAAAATGTAAAATATTATTGCAACTAATTCTTATCAATATCAGGTGGCAGGAACTGTTTCAGTATAGAACATACAAATGCCTCACAGGAAAAGATGATCAGATTAAATCTAAAAACAAAATAAAAACAAATTTACAAAGCTCCCAAAGCTCTGTAATCAGAGCTCCTGTCACCTCTCTTCCTCACTCATTTTCCTCTCTCCTTTTTCTTTCTTCCTCTCACTAAAATATAGTGAAATATGGGCTCAGTATTGAGGAAATAGTAGTAAACTAAAGCAAGCACAATCTGAGTCCATGGGCTTTCATACCAGTGTGATATGCAAGCTGTCAAAAAAAAAAAAACCCATGGACAAATATATAATTACACATAATGACAAAAGTCACTTAGAGCAGCACTGCAGGTATGGAGTACATAGAAAGCCCAACTGGACAAATAATGTGCACATTCAGGACTAAAAGATGCATACTAAGTAGCTGACTTTAATGGCAAAAGGGAGGAAGATGAATGAATCCCATTTAGGAATGTGAGAGTACACAGATGTGCCCAGAGTGGAGCAGACAGCAGGGAGCAGGTAATGAGTAGAGGAGCACAGGATGGGAGCAAGGGGTGGAATTCCCATATGAAGGTAGTGATCAGATCTGAAAGCCAGAAAGAACCCTCTGGCAGCACAGTGGAAACTAGACTGCAAGAGGTGAGAGCATGAGGCAGGCAATTTTTATGTCATCTCTTTCCCATTTGTTTATTTCAAGCAGGTCTTTTAAAAAAACTCCAGCTTTAGGGAATTTCTATGGGACAAAAAAGCAGAAACTGTTAAAACTCTTGACCAGGAAAAAACTAAACTCAAACGTAGCTGGACTTCCCAAAAAGAGTAGACAGAGGGGAAGGTTTTTAGGCAAAACATGAAGAGGACGAGACATGCACCCTGCTCCCAGTCAGCACCTGGGGAGAAGCGAAGCTCAGGGGGATAATATGGATCAATGAAAGTGGGGACAGCCTCCCCAAGCTTCCTGAGTCTTCGAGAGACATGTGGGCTGCAGTAGCTGGCACCTCGAAGGCAGCAGGTGGGGCTTGTACCAGACGAATGCAGAGCTTTCTTCTTTTTCATGTGGGCATAGTGCGCCTCTTTGAGCAGGCTGCTGAAGGCTGATTTAAAGAACAAGCAGTGTTGCGTTCTTGTATGCCCACTTTGTTCTTGCCACTGCATACTCACCGAAAATAGGTGAAAGAGAACAGTGTAGCAGTCATAAGAGCAAAAACCCAAGGGTGCTGGTATAGATATGAAGAAAAACAGACAAGTTGAACAACAATTTAGGGAACAAAACGAGTATGATTTGGTGATGTTTTCAGATTAGGAGGAGTATGGCCAAAGCACCTCAGAAAGCAGAGACATCAATGACTGTGATCCTTTTGCAACAACTGCATTTCCACTTCTGTAGATGATTTTGTCTGGGAAAACAAGCTAGAGAGGATGATGACAGGCTAAACGAACCCTAAACACCTCCAATGGAAAATGGACAAAAACTGACTTGATAATCCACAAATAAATATTTGAGGGTAAAACACACACCTAGATGCCAGATCTTGACTTCTATGAGTGATTCTAAGCTGTAATGCACCAGAATACTCTAGGTGAATGACTCATTCTAGGCCTGAGGAAGGGGTAGTAAACTATGGCCCTGAGAAATCACATGTTCAGAAGGCAAAGAATAACGTATAGAAAACTGATGGTGTCTTGCTGAAAAGAGCGAACTTACAAGCTTTCAGAACCTGAGATTCAGGGAGAACAGTCAACAGAATGCCTACACTACTGATGCTTTGCCATTTTGACAAAAAAGCCCACAAAAGCCTAATGATTCAAGGAAATGGAAATTTGATTTTCATCATGCTTTTCGACAGCAACACTTTATTTTTAAAGAAAGTGGAGAGGTGTGTTTAAGATATTCAGGGACAGAAAAACTGAACCAAGAATTTTATAGACAGAAAAACTAATCATCAAGATACACACTATTATCCAAATATAAGAACTCAGGGAATGTCATTCCTATGAGTGCTTTATTGAGGAGTCAAATGAAAACAGGGTTCAGATAGTGAAAATGAGCAAGGACACATGCACCTAAACATTGGTGGTAAGCATCAAATAATTGGTTACTTGGAGACTCAAAACTATGAGGAGGGCTGGCCAAATAGCTCAGCAGATTAAAGCAACTGCTTAGGCAGATGCAGGGGTCAGGATTCGATCCCCAGTGCCATGCCAGCCCCGCCCTCGGGCGCACTGAGATGGCAATTGAGACTGGGTGTGGGGCGTGTGCCTGTATCCCAGAGCTTGGGTGGCTGGACACAGGAGGATCACTCTGAGTCTGATCTACATAGTGAGACCCTGTAGACTCTTATAAAAAAAGTATGGGAAGATAGTACAGTATAGAGCAGCTATCTACCCCATCATGGGAGGATACAGAGGAAAAAAGCTGGGCAGATAACAGGCAGATCATATACAAATTAGCTCTTTTTAGGGCACTGACAACAAAACACAAGTTTTTTTTTTAAACTATAACTTTGTAGAAAAGTCATAAGTAAACTTAGATGGAGGGCGACATTGTTTACCGCTTCTCGATCAAGGGCATCCTGGAAATCTTTAAGCCTTCTTTCCTCATACTGTTTCTCTCTGAAAATTCTGTTTTGCCATAAAACTTCCTTCTCGTGCCGGACATGCATGAGCTGCACCGCGATCCTGCGCTCCTGCTGGGACTGTCGCATGAGCCTGTGGATCAGCTGCTCCTCCCGGTAGGCCTCCTGCAGACACCAGCGGGACAGCGCGTTATGGGCCAAAGCCACGCTTTGGCACTGGGCTGTGATGTTGCTATGCAAACAGCACATAAAAGGTCCAGCGTTCATCTAAGTCAACTTCTGCTGTTTCATTACAATTAAATTTTTTTAAAAAAATCACGTTTGAAAAGAAAGAAATTTGCTAACAGAGGTTGAATAGTTTTAATACCTACAGATCTCAGGTCTTGAAACTCACAATTAATTTAAATGCATGTCTTACTTCCCTTACATTCTGATTTTAAAAAAACAAATTTGGTGACCTTTCCTCCACCATTTAAACAAGCAATATAATTCTATTTGTAAGCGTATTTTCACTAGTTTGGAAATGTGTTACATGCACCCTAAGTACATGCGGCAAAACAAATGTAGACACTGTTCAGTTAAAGTCAGTAGATCTAGTCAGTGTCTGGTGGAGACATCACAACGCCTGTGTAAAGAAAAGGTAAAAATTGGTAAATGTTGAGAGTGAAGATAAAGCTAAGTGAAAACAACCTACTGCTTACCTTAAACAATCTGACAGATCATAATCTGAAATAGAAACCAGTAACTGTTTTGGGAAAATAGTAAGGGAACCAGGAAATAAATATCAGAAGACATTAAGTGGGAATCAGAACATCTGACTTCTTTACCCTCAGTTGTGCCACTAATTGGCTGTGCAGATTTGGGCAAATATCGCCGTTTTGCAAGTCTAGTTCTACGGCAGGAAGCAATGAGAGGTATACGTGGAACATAATTTCTGAGGCTCCATCAGCTCCCTCACTCTGTCTAAACAGAGACATCATGTGGAAAGAAGAGGTAATTAAAGTACTTGGTGGGGACTTAGAAAAATAGTTAAACATTGGAGTTTATAACTCAGTAATTTAAAACTCAATGAACTAATTACTTAGATTAAAAAGGCTGGCATCATCACTGGCACTTCAAATGATCTCTAGTACTATAAAATTTCAGGAGAAATTTATATTTGTATACTTAACCAAACCAGCATACCAAAACAATACTCCACAGTAAATGCTGAAGCCTAAACCTGGAAATTATTAAGATGTAAAATTGAAATGAAATTATTTTGTTAGTAAGTTACATGGGACTTAAAAGCCATGAGCAATATGTCTCATCTATTTATAAAATTCTATAAAGCTTCATGTTGATAAGTGATTTCCTTATAATATCCAATACTGGTAGGAAGGCAGAATATAAACACAGCCACCAGTCCCTCCTTTCTTTTCATTCACAATCTTGCAATGTTATCCTATAGACCTCCCCCATTAAAAAGGAGAATCTGTTTCTACATCCCTTAAATATAAGCTATGGAGTCACCATTAACTTGAGCCAACAAATTAGAAATCAGCCAGAGAAACAAAACATACAAAACAAACATTAAAGTAAATAAGACAAAGCATTTTGAGTTTGACTTTCTAAAGTCTCTCTGCCACTCCACCATGCGCTTACCTGGTCCACCGGAGAACCAGCTACTTGGTCTCCAGAGGCACCAGCCCTTGCAGCGGGATCTGGTGGAATGACCAGGAATCACCCAGTCCTTCATCCATCAACTGCCCAGATGAGACCACCAACAATGCAGTGCAGCTCAGCCCAGCCTACTACATTTGCAGTGATTCTGGATATAAGTGGCACAGTTTCAACCACGGATTTTGAAAATATGACCCTGCTTTATTATTCCAAGTAAACTCCAGGAGATGATGTAGTGCTTATATGACAAGATGGCTAGGTTGGCAAGGCAAGATCTGCTTATTCAACTCTTATAAAGATCATAATGAATTGGCCAGCTGTGTTTTGGTTATTGCTGGATAACAACATATGAGGGATAAAGTGGGATAGAGAAAAATTACTGTGGAAGGGCCAGGTCAATGCCATATTTATAAAGCCTCAATATGGCAAGCCAGGAAGTGTGTTAGGATGTTGTATCTAAAAAGGGAGTGGAAAAGATTTACTCTTTGATCCACTGTATGAGTAATTCACACTTTAAAAACAGACTATTTCCCAAAATTTCAATGGAATACAATCTGCCTTTGGGTACCCATGTGTCTAATGAACCATTAATCCCTACAGATTTTGCTTCTAAAATATTTCTTAAAGCCACTTCTCTCAATCCCCATCACCAATAACCTAAATTTAGACTGAAATAGCCTCTTACTTGGATCAGAGGAACAGCCAAGCTTGTTTTGCCCTCCTGTAAGCCAGTCTCCAAACCGAAGTCAGAGTGATTTTTTAACAGATAAACCTGACCTTATTCTCTTTTGCACTCAAATTGGAGACTGTAAAATTGATTTCTCTCTATGTAATCCATCATGCTTTGCCCTCTGGTGACTTTGGCCACATGACAGGACTTTTGTGAATTAAAAGCACTGAGCTTTTCCATGTGACTTTTCTCTGCTATGAAAACACATTTCATCTCTTCCCACTTCAGCAACCCGGGAGCTGTCTCTTGACTCCACTCTTGCACCTCTGCCTTCCTTTAGTTATCTCCTGACTTGCTTCATGCTTCTGTTCATTGCTCAGCGTGGTGTGCTATGCCACCCCACATGCCATGCAGGAGAGGCTCCCACTGTGGGGTCTCCTCCCCCCACACTCCCATCATCCCATGATGCTTCACTCCAGCTTATTTACAGAGTCACTCAAGGGTGAGCTCTGTGAGAGCCAGTTTCTTGTTATTCCTATGCACTCTTGTATTTCTGGGGCTTGCACAAGTATGAAGAGAATGGAGGTGTACAGGATGCTCAGTGAACCTCCACATGGGCCACTTCAGAATCCCCTCAGGAGCCCAGGCCCAGGGGGTGGGATTCAAACTGGATGGGGTCAGGGGATGCTGAGGCCCCTGGTATAAGAACCACATTTTGTGAGCCCTGGAGTAGACAAATGAGCAAACTGAGAGGATGAAGAACTTTTCATTAAAAGCCCTCCTTCACTTAAAAGTAACAATGGATATACAGGGTTCACATCAATTTTAGATGGCTTTTATGTCAGTATATTTTGCTATCATAGTAAAACACATATGGAAAAATTTATTATTCCAATACTTCTAAGTGTACATTTCAATGATATTAAGTTTTTTTTTTTTTTTTAAAGTACTTTCCTAATGCTATGCAACTATCACAAGATTTTACATGCTTTGGTTAATGTGCAGAGATTGCTTACTCCCCAAATTGCTGTTCTGATGTAAGCACGTACCAGTGATACTGACTGAGAACAGCAGACAATCTATGTGTGCCGAAGAGCACACCTTGAAAAACTGTCAGCACTACTCAGCTCTCATCGCAATATCTTACCTCCTGGGCTTCATGGGCAATTAACTGGTCCATCAGCAGCCTCCGTCGCCTTTTCTCTCTTTGCTCTCGAGCAAAAGCATCTTCTTCTAGGCGCTTCTGGATTTTTTTAATGTAGTCATCATCTGAGTAAGTGTTTAACAAGTCTGCAGTCGTATAGTCTGCTGTGTCTAAAGTAGTCTTGGATGAACTGAGGGCAATAGTTATCTTGTTTGTTGATGTACTTTAAAAAAAATAAATTTATTGGTACATTTTAGGTGTACACAATGATCAGATTCATCACAGGAATTTGTATCTGTACACAATATATCATGGTGCTCTTTTTTCCACTTTTCCTCCCCTCTTCAACTCCTGTTCTCCTTATTTACAGAATATTTGTTTCCAATTTTTCTTTTATTCATTCTTTCTTTTCCTTCCTTTCCTCCTACTCCCTCTCTAGTTCTCCTCGTTTGAATATTTTCTTCCTATTTCCCAATATCTATTGTGCATTTTGGTCTTTATTTACACTTTTGATTTCCTAAACCAGAGAAACAGTAAGTTATTTACACAGAATCCCTGATAGATTTTATATTTTTATATTTTGTATTTTATATTTAAAATAGGATTATGAGTTCACTTTGTGACTATGGAAGCACTCCCTTGAGTGCCCTTGTAACTGAGTAACGCAACCACCGATGCTACTGTGACACTTACAGCTGATCAACTGATTCTCTTTGCTTCTCTCCGTTTCTGAGCTCTGTCTCTGTGAGGTCCTTAGCGTAGCCTTCTTTCTAAGCCCCTCACTTTTGCAGCTCCACCTCCTCAGAACCTTACTCAGGGATTCTAGAGGCCTCCCCCTCTTCTTCCTACTAGCTCTGTACTTCTTTCATCCCCTATTTTGATTCAACGGTAGGCCAGCTATTGGTAACTCATACGTCAGGGAAGGCACACCTCTGTGACAGCAGCCCAGACACTAGAAAATACTCCAACGGATGGCTCCAGCCACTGCCACTCTCCTTCCACTGATGACAGTGCAAGTTACTCTACAAATTCCCAGAGGAATTTCTGTCTCCACAGGAGAGTGGCTTAGCGCCTTTTGGAAACTCAGCAGTTGGAAGTTAACTTGCGGCTCATGATATATGCACAAGCCCAAGTCTGACCTGTCCTCTGTCCTAACTCATAGCCAAAGACGGAAAGATCAGAAAGAGCCTGATCATATCTCCAAAAGAAACACTACGCTTAGTGAGACAAAGAGTGGCTAATAAGAAAACAGCAGCAGCAGCAACAGCAAAAACAAGGGATCAGGTGATGGTTGGGTGGGGGAAGAGGAGATGAAAGTGGGTGAAAAAGGGAATTAAGGTGTCTTATGTACCTGTATTGTGTTAATAAAATAAAAATTTTAAAGGTATCATTAAAAATAAAAGATACATCTTTATGTACAAAAGATGTATACATCTTCTTTTCCGCATACCTCTCTAAAAGCAAAGAGTACACAGTGGCGCAGTAACATAAGACATAGTGTGATAATTACTTGCCAAGAAATAACGATTTTTTTGTGCCATGAATAATCACTGTTCTTACTCTTCTGAGTAAACATATATTAAATTTAGAATGTAACAATCTAATTCATAAAACAAGGACACATTATTTAAATATGTAGAGATTAAATGATCATCAATTTTCATAGAGATAATCCTGTGAAAGCAAAACTAAATTACGTTTTGTAACACAATAATTGCATCTTTATAGTAAGTGTCATATTATATTAGAGATCGTAATTTGTAGGCTTGTTGTTCTCCAAAGAATTCTGACTTATTATCTTGGTTTTTTAAAAATTGTACATCATTTCTAATGTCTTAGCTACTATTTTGATATTGTCTTAAAATGAAAGAAGAGAATAAAAAATTCTAAGCTTGCAAGAAAAGGATCCTATTTTCCTCCCTCTGTACCCTGTGCCTGGCATATTTGTTGGGCAGTTAATTTCTGCTAAACTTCAAATAGTACTCTGAGAATCACTCTACCAGTGTAAACTCAGACACTCAAGGTTTGGTTGTAGCCTGCGACAAGAGTTACTCATGAAAGATGAAGTTACCAGAGACTCAGTAAGGTAGAAGAAAGTTTAATCTTGTTTATTTTTTAAAATTTAGCAAATTAGATAATAAACGAAAAATGGGTGGCAAAGCAGTTTGACAAGATTCATCAACATTCTTATGCTTTTATTTAACAATACTGTTTAAAAAAGTCTATCCTGATTGAGCACAGGTTAAGGACTGTACCATCTCTTTGCAGCCAGTATATACTTCACAGAATGCTGCTCTTTGTTTTCCAGTCAGACTCTCTATCTATCCATCAACCTATCTATCCATCCACAGATCCATCCTTTCATTTATTCATTGTCTTAATGAAGTTCAAAGATTACAGAGTGATAAAAAGATAAAAATGTTAAGTAGCCTGATGAGTACATATTTAATGTAACAAGTACATATTTAGTATGCCACATCTTAATTCATAAATACATTCAGTTATTATATATTGATCAAAAAGGATTTTTTAAAGTTTAAGGACATGGAAATGCTAATTGCCTTGATTTGATCATTACACATTGTACATAGGGATCAAATTGTCCCACTGTTAGGCACAGATTTGTACAATTAAATAATTGTACAATGAAATGATTAATTGTACAATTAAATAATTAATTGCACAATTAAATAATTAATTAATTAAAAACTATTTTTAAAATGATAAGGAACCTATGTGAGAGTTACTGGAACAAATGTTCATTTTAATGATGAAGGCAGTGATCACACACTTTTGTATCCATTTGGTTTCCAGACCTCCACAGAGGTTATAGATTATATACATATGAATTATCAGTAATAGAAAACTTGGTCAAATTTATTTCATTGAACTCCAGAAGAATTGCACTTATCAAGAAATCAAGCAACAACAAGTGGTAGAGAGGCTGTCAGGGGAAAGGAGCCCTGCTTCATTGTTGGTAGGAGCATAACTAGTGCAACTGCTATGGAAATCAGTGTGGAGAATCCTCAAATACTGAAAACAGAAATTCCACTTTACCTGGCTATTCCCTTTCTGGGCATCTTCCTAAGAGAGGGAAAGGCACACTCTTGAATGAAATGAATGAGATACACGTCCATAAACACTACATTGATTTTCTGGCAGGAGAAACCAAAAGTGTAAATAAGGGCTAAAATGTATAATAGATACTGGAAAATAGGAAAAAAAAGTTCATACAGGAAAGGAACTTGGGAGGGAAAAAGGGAGATGAAGGAAGGGAAAAGAAAAAAAAAATGATGAGAAAGAAGAAAAAATGGAAATAAAGCTTTTGCAAATAAGGAGGGGAAGAAGGAGTACAGGGAGGTAGAGGGGAAGCAGGAAGTAAAAACATACTATGTCCAGGTACAAACTCCCTGTGATGAATGCTGTCATTGTGTACACCAAAAATGTACCAATAATCTTAATTAATAAAACATATAATATTACAGTGATACACACATTTTCATGTTCATAGCCGCATAATTCCTAATAGCTAAGTTTGGAAGCAGCCTATACATCCATCAACAGATGAGAGAAAAAGAAAGTAAGGTATTTATACAAAATGGAATACTACTCTACCCTAAAGAAACGTAAACTAGAGTTATTTGTAGAAAGATGGGTGCACCCAAGACCATAACATTTAATGAAATAAATCAGACACCCAAGTTTAAATATGACATGGTTCCACTTATATGAGAAAACTAATAAAGTACAAAATAAAAGACAGACATTGAGGGAAGAAGAGGGATACAAAAACAGCTTTTATAATCCCACTGGGTCAATATAACTAAATACGTAACTTGATTTAGTATAATTATCTTATGTATTTTACATGATTTTCCCTGTTAGTCTAGTTGTTAATCTGTGTTTATGACAATTAATTTGATAAGGATTATAAAACATATAAACGGATCTAATGTTGGCAAAAATAATTTTTAAAAAACAGGGATGGGAAAAGGGGGAAAACTGTATGTCATGTTCATTTACCTATGATACACAGGAATGTAGTCATTATATACTGCTAACAGGTATAAATAGAATAATTAAAATAAACCAGTGTTTAGGAAAAGATAAATCTATCAAAGTTACAGCATCCAACAACCTTAGCTAAGTAAACAAAAAATATGTATGATTTGCCTGAAAAATTAAAAACAAAAATCCTTGGGAGCCCCTCACATTGCTAGCATTAAGACACTGCATTTCATAAGACATTTCATTGTTCCGCGTTAGAAAAAATACACACTTTGGAGTGACAATTCTGTCCCTGAGGAGTTGTTCAGAGGCAGCCTGTGAAAGAGGCAACTACAGAAATTGCTTTTTAGGTTCACAGGAGAGGGACTGGGGGAAAGATATTTATCTATGTATATAAGCAGCATGGTTTGGACAACTGTACCATGTATTTCTGCTGGTCTATGGAAAGGAGCACTTAATGCTTAATTTGTTTCATCTCCTTTTTTAAATTGTTTATACTTTTTCTCTTCCTTTTTTATACATTTCTTTATTTTTTTCTTCTTCCAATTTTACATGCATATATCTGATAATATGAATAACTAGTTGGAAGCCAACACTGTGCATTAAAACAAATACTGTGAAATTCATATTTCTTTGTTAAGTGAAATTCTGTATCACTTGTATTTTTTTCTGTTTTAATTCTAATTTGTAGTCTCTTTTAAAAATAAAAAAATTAAAAAGGAAGATTTAATGCTGTCTGACATTAAGTTAGTCTGAAGTTTCTGAATGAGCTGAAAACATCCTGGATTTGAAGCTAAAACTTTACAAAGAATTTAAAAAGTAGTGAGTAATAAAGGAGCTTAGGAGGACCATGATGATCCATAGCCTTTGTTTACTTTAAAAATTTGCCCCTCAAAGACAATAATATGCAAATTATTAATTATTGTAACTGTCCTACTAACCTGCTTTGAAACTGTCTCATTGCTGTTTCTTTCTCATTAAAATTAATTTAAAACATTTGACCAAGATTCAGTCATCTTCCCCATAGTGATAAACAGATGGCACCCAGAAGAAATACCTTTTCCAATATTGAAATATTTCTTTCTTGCTGGTGAGTAGCATCCTCTGCACCTCCTTCCCAGAGGCCCCTCTATTCCCAGAAGTTGGTAGCTACTGGACACAACAGAACTTTCCAGGCTGACACCAGCATGCATTTTGAATGACTAGGGTCTTTACCATGTCAATAATTAAATGGCTCAAGGCCATCCCTGACCAGTACAGCTGCCAATACTTTGATCTCTACTGCTGGCCATTCCAGAGGGACTCTAGATCTTCAGCAGTTACCTTCAGAACAGGTGCCAAACTAATAGTTTCTTTGAAAGAATAAATGTAGCATATCTACCTTCTAGAATTTATAAAGTTAACAATTAATTTTAACTTTTTAAATCTTTCTTCATATATATCCTTAATGGAGATTCGCTTTAGTAAAATATCTTTGGGATAGGCATACTAGATAAATTATTAGTAAATATTTAAAGGTTACACATAGTCTAGAATCCAGTTTTATGATTAAAGAGTTAACATCCCACCTTTCTTTTGCCTGGAGATCTTTTTTTATCAATGCTTCAAACTTCATGATCTCATCAGCAACATCCTTTAAAGAAAATTCATCGTTGTTTAAACATTTTCTTGTAACCTTATCTACTATTAACTGACTGAAAATCTGAAAATTGACTTCATCTCTTTGTTATGTATTACAATTTATTATTAATAGTCTTTTTCAAATTTAGGAAAATAGTCAAACATAGAAGTGAGATCAGAAAAGGCTACTGTGGAACTTAAATATAAGATACTCTGTTAGTATTTTTAAAGATATGGATTAATATAAAATACAATGAATTTGGGAATCAGAGAGATTTGTCAATGTGTGCTTTACCAGCACTGGTGAACTTGAGTAAAATATGGTAAGTTTTAAAGTTTCAGTTTTCTTGTCTGTACAATGGGGAAAATAATCCTCTACTTGGAAAATTATTTATAAATGAAATTGCCAATCTGCAGCCTGACATATAGTAGATATAATAATGGTAGCTATTATTCATCTTATGTCACAGAAGTATCAAAAATCAAGAATTAGCTACTCTCCTCAGAAATATGACCAGCTTCACGCTGCTATAAAGAGAGGCAGTTGGCATAACCTAGTAAGATGTCACTATCATAGATATTGTAAATTTAAATATCCTCCTGGCAGCAAGTGACTTAACATTTCTGGGACTTACAACAACACTTACTAAATGGTGAAAAGGAATGGCCTAAGCATATGTGTGTCTTACTCGGCCCTTGCAGTGCTCATAGCACTGAGCTATTACAACAGTGGCCATTTTGATCTACTTTGTCAGCACCCACAGAATCCTTCTGGTCATGGGCATCCTGACCGATACTACATTTTCATGAAGAGTTCTCCATGCCTACAATCAAGCTACATTCTCTGTTTCTGAACAAATAACAGTATAAAGTAGATTGGCTATGTATAAACTAGAATTCTAAGTATAAGCACACACACTTTATAAACACAGTTTTAAAAGGTACTTTTCTACATTTTAGAAAAAGGCCATCCTTTAGCTAAAACAACTACAACATAATAGTAAAGGATTTCACTTACCGCTGCTTCTTGTTGCTTTTTCATCATTTTTTGAGCCTCAAGTGCTTTCAGCGTTTGATTTGAAGCAGGTTTAGGAATCTGTATGATAGCTGCTTGGATTTGGGCCATTATTTCATTTTGTCGTCTTCTGCTTAAGCGTTGCTGAGTATCCCATATACATTTTAGTTATTCAGTTTGTCAGAATAATGGGTAATGTATAATTCATCAAAATTTTAGAACTAAACAATTAATGCCTTAGGTGCCATAATTTTGTAATGAGCAATTGTCAATGTATTCATAAGAAAGTTATGATATTAAAATACAATTGTGAAATTCCCAAATTATATATGATATATATGTACTGTGTCATTCTGTGTTATGACACTGAAGGATAATAAAGGTATTCCAAGTGCCAAGAAAACTATTATACTTTCCCAATCCTGCCTTTGTGACTTGTGTTATCATGGGAACTGAGAAGTCTGCTTCTGAAGATTGTCTGTATGGAAATTTCAAGCTAGGAGAGTCTTGGAAAGGCTTCAGAGAAGCCCAGTCAAAATGACAAGGTAGCCCAAACACAGTCATAAAGTGAACATAAGCCCGAGGCTCCCACCAATCCTGAACTTACAGCTATATATCATTCCTGGTTCACCTCTTCAATATGTAGGCAATAATTATTTTAAGGAAAATACAAACTGAAAGATATAAATGAAATGAAAATAAAAGCCTAAAACTCAAGTGAAACAATATAGTAATAATGAGGTAATCTATGAAACCAATCATAACTTTACTACTAAGTATTATTTCAGAACTAATGAGAGATTATTGTTTTCTATGTCCAGCGATATAATTTAATTTATCCTCTAAACTACTGAACATAGTTTAAGCGTTTTCTTCATTTTATTTTCCTTGTGTGTAATTTGTATAATGAATGTATTTATCATTTTATTTTCAAGAAAACAAGAAGTCACAGACTTTCTTTTGCCCAGTTTGCTTCCTATAATCTGTATGTTGTCCTTTTGAGAAAAGGTCTTGATACAGTTCAGGCTGTCGTTGAACTCACTTTGTAGCCCAGGCTGGTCTCTAACTTGCAAGGATCCTCTTGCCTTTCCTTTCTGAGTGCTGAGGTTACAAGTATGCTCCTCCACACCCAGCCCTATGAACATTTTTAATGTAATTTATTTCAGAATATGTAATGTTGTCACATTTTCCCTTCTAAATTTTCTTTGAAGATTGTTTGCCTTAGATTTGGCACTTTAAAGCTGGAGGTTCAGGTAAGTTAGATTTTGATCCCAATTTAAATACTATAGTCTCTTGCCTGCAATGCCATAGGTAAGCATGACCCTTGACTTTGGCAAGTAATGGAAGTGAAAGACCCTCCAGAATTTGCCTTTCATCTTTCCTTCCATAGATAGATAAATAAATAGATAGATAGATAGAGATAATTGCTTAAAAGTGATTTCATAGTGCAAAAGAAGAATTATAATTCTTTTGCCTGTAGTTTACACATTCTACCCTCCTAGCCACATGAGATTCTTCTGAAATTCTTTTTTTTATGTTTTTGTTGAAGGGTCTCACTACACAGCTTGGACTTGTAGTGATCCTCCTGTTTTCAGACTCCCCAGCACTGGGATTATAGGCGTGAGCCACCATGCCCGGTCTCAGTGGTGGAGTCAGCATGCTGTGGGGGAGTGAGGGTGGAACAGCCTGTGGTGTGGGATTGAACCCCAGACCCTGTGCTTGCCTAAGCAGTCACTTAGTTTACTGAGCTATCTTGCCGGCCCTTCTAAAAGTCTTTAATGCTTCCATACATTATTATCCAATCATGGCCTTAAAGATACATCATTAAATATTTCAGAAAAGTTTGAAAGGCATCAGTGTGCCAGTCATAACAGAAAGCAGCCAGGAATAAAGCAAAGAGATGTTTAACATGGTTAGAAAGGGAAGCAAGCATAGAAATGCCTGGTAAGAGAGAGAGTTACAGAAAGACAGGATAACTACAGAATTTCAAAAGGGCAACTAGAGAGCAAAATGTCTGCTCTGTCTCACTGCAAGGCGACAACAGTCATGAGCCTCTGGCCTTTGCACTAGCCAGTAGCAAACCCCTTTCACTGACACAGCTGAAGACTACATTTCCCCGGCAGAAGAGACGGAGTTGTCCTGTTACTTCATAAAATGGGAGTCATTGTTCTCAGTCACACTTGGAAGTCACAATCAACAGGAGTAAGGATGGAGAGAAGGGGAAAGGGAATGGATAGGAAGGACAAAGTTGTGCATTAGGAAAATGCAGCTTGTGCTGCATTACTGCATAGGTAATGTGAACTAAGCGAGTGACTTATAACAGTACACTATATCCACTTTTCTCGATACTATCAATTTCTGGGAAAACAAATAGCTCAGTATACTCTGGTTTCTCTTCAGATCGTATAAATCTTTCGCCTTTTACAAATAGCTTAGTAGATTAAAGCACCTGCAAACAGGCGTAGGGTCTGGGTGTTGGATCCCTGGGCCTGCCATGCCAGCCCCACCCCTGAGGTGTACTAAAACGGCAATTGAGACTGAGTGTGGTGGCGCACATCTGTAATCCCAGCTCTTGGGAGGTTGTAAACAGGCAGATCACTATGAGTCCAATCTTGTAGTGAGACCCTTGAACGCCCTGTAGACCCTTCCTTAAAATACAAAAAAATTAAAGCATCATTGTTCTTCCCTGAATTTTTGAAATCTAAGTTTCTCAGAATGTATTTGGATAAGATCTTTGTCATTTTTTTATATTTTTCTTTAAACCTATGTTTCAATTGAGTTTGATGTGGCATTAGATTTTTAAATCTCTAAATGAAAACATTTCACAAGATTTTGCTATTAGGGAGTACAGATTATACTGCCATTGTGGATATGCATGAATTTATCTTTAAAATAAATTTTCTATGAATTACCATTGCTGCTAATTAAATTCAAGCCTCACATCAGTCATTCATGTTTTTAACTGATCCAAAGACAGTAAAAAATATGAGTTGAATCTCTTACCATATAGCTTTGCATATATTTCATAATTAATGATTTTTTCAGTAAATATCATTTATATTCTCAGAATACATTTTCACATAATTTCATAAAATCAATTCTAATACATAAGAGAAACATAAGGAGTTACATTCTTCCCATTATTGAAGCCACTTCTCAGAAATAAAATGAAACATTAAAACTTCAGGGCACAAGTTTCAGTTCTGTTAGTATTAAACTGCATCAAACTGGAAGTTACCTGCACCTTCTGCCTCAGTGCAGAAGGTTTGTGTCTAGCTGTCCCCTAAAGCCTCACGCAGTCATGGGACACACTTTAGAGTTCGTGATTAACTTATGATCCACTGGGACTACGGGTGTGAGTACTGCTGGGATTTTGGGTGTAAGTACTACGCCCGGCCTGGGGCAGATAGCCTGAATGCAATTTAAGGGAGACAGACTTGCTCTCTGTTGCCATTTTTGCCACTACTCCTCCCATTTGCTCTTGCTCTTTGCTACCACCATGAACTGCTGCCCTCTGCCATGTGCTGCTCTGCCTTGGAGTCAGCTGAGTATAGACTGAAACCTTTAATAACTGTGAGCTAAATCAACCTTTCCTTCCTTCATTTTGAGTGTCAGGTATTTGTCCCGGCAATGAGAGAAGAGCAACTGAGACACCCAGGTTCATAATCTATAAAATAGGAATAATAAAAGTACCTGTATCAATGCATTATTTTGACAATCAAGTGAGGTGATATACACAAAGTCCCCTCAACAAGACTTGACCTATCACTACTACAGACAAGAGCCATCGTCCAGTGTTAATATAACTATATAACAGTCACCTGCGTCTCCCCTATCTGCCATCAGAGAAAAAGCCACCACGCTTTCTTATGTCTCTCCTCCTCTACACAAGTGAACAAACCATTGATTTTCTCATCAAGTTTTTTCACAGAGGACATCTTTCCTTTGGGTATTCATACCACATCTATCTCCTGTGGCTGAATTTTCTTCTCACCTAGCAAGTTGTCTCACTTTCTGTGGCCATCAAATAATCTGCTCCTTCTGTGTCTCCCTAGCCACTTTCTTACTTTATCTCCATATTTCTTGAAAGAATAACATGTTTTCTTTTGTTACCTCCAGTTTCCCCTTCAAATCATATCACTTAAATAAAAAAAAATTTCTTCTCCCCAAAATGTAACTTCTTAGGAAGTTTTCTGTGCTTTAATTTGCAAGCGCTTGGCAGAAAGTAAGACTCAGATAATTATTTGTTTAATGAATGACTGACTCAGGAAAGTCACCCCGACCAACCTAAGGGTCACTCATGCATTTGTCCTCATCTAGGGCAGCTTTTCCACTTCTCCTATCACCAGCACAGGCTTCTTGACGCTACCCAGAAACCCAGTGACCAAGTAGAGATCACTGTACTTGTTTTTATGAAGGAGAAAGTTGTGTCTAAATTTTTTTCAGAGACTGGCTCAAAATGAACCAACTTGTTAATTAAGAGGTATGCAGTAGTACATTATTCAGATTTAATTCTAATTTAATTTTTAGCTCTCCACAGGTATGGAGTCTATTTTGTTATCAAGTTTATAAAGATGTCCACTAAGAATGGACAAACCTGAAGATAAAGACGGCCCTCACATCTGTCATTGTTGCTTCACAAATTAAATTGAAAAATTTAATTATTTCAAACCATATTTATTTCTGGGCAACAGGGTTGCATTCGAAATTAATTCAGGTCCCTGGAAGACAACTTTCTGCACTTACCATAAGGAAATAGCATAGGGACTGAAAATGATTTTCATCTAAAAAAGGTGTATCAATTAATCAGAACACATTTACTGAGGATCTGCAATTTTGAAAGCACTGCGCTGGACACATTTCTTGAATTTGATGAACTAAGGATCACGAGGCCATATGACATGTAAGTAATGAACACTTAGCCAACAATATCAGCACGAGGAGGTTAACCCACGGACTGAAAATTACCTATGCCATGAGGATTCCAAAAAAGGATCTATGTGTACCAGAAAGTCTAAGAAGAATAGGCATAAAAGAGAAGTTTGGGAAAGAAGAGAGATAAAAGTGATTTGTGTAAGTGGGGAGAGTCAAAATGCTTCAAGGACCTACTGGCAATCAGCATAAAAGAAGTAAACACGTAATGCTGAGGAGTGAGAAGAAATACATTTATATGGTAGCATGAGAGGAGAGAACAGCTTTTTAAGATGGGGTCACATGACAGGTTTCCCGTGCATTTGCATAGGAGGCATGGTTTTCTAAAGTGCAAATAATCTTTAAAGCATTCTGATACAACTACATGTGACTTGGAAACACTCCTGAATTTTATATGCACATATGACTGTTATCAATAGTACACAACGTAAAAGGTGGCAACACTGAAGTCCCCTAGTTGTCTCTATATATGAAGGAATTGTGGGAGAAAAAGAATAAGAAATAAATTTAGAACGAGGGCTGAGGCTGTTTAGGGAAAGACTGTGAAGATAAGCAAAATTTATAAATAGAGAATATATGTAAAATGATTTCTGAGCCAAAGAATCCAAAGTATTTGGACCTTAGAGGACGTTCATGTGGCAGGTGATTTGCTTCAGGCAAAACTCCCAAAACTGAAATGATGTGCTAGGAGGTTGATGCTTGAGTGTGCAAGGTGATCTGAGCAGATATGATGGTAAAAACAGAGAGTCAAGCACGCAAGCACACAATTGTTGGGAATGAAGAATAGACATTTTTATTTTTTTTAAGGTACCAGGAATTGAACTCAGGACCTTGCGCTTGCCAGGCAGGCGCTTATTCTACTGAGCTATATCTCCCTAGCCCAGGAAAGACTTTTAAATATTATTGTCAATGTGAATAGCTGGGATATGGCATCAAAATTGGACAAGTTAATGAGAAATATTAGCAAAATAAAGCTCAAATTTTGTCAGTGGCGAGGATACCAACATATGTACCTGATGGCCAGATACCAAAGCACTGTCATTATTTTTCACCAAGCTTCACACTGTGACATGCTCAGCAGGCTTCCCTGTGTACCTACCTCTCGGAAAGCCTCAGTTTTCATGTTTTGAACTTTTAAACTTGTCAGCGGCTGTGTGGTTGCTATTGGTATTACCGTCAGTCCACTTTTCTTCTTTTTCTGCAGAGCGATGTACAACTGATAGAGGAGTTTTGTCGCTGCTCCAGGCTTTTCTGTAATTATGCTTTGGGCCATATTCTTATCAAATTGCACACCCAGAAGGTGAAGGGTTGGCTCCACGCGGGAAAAGTTACTAAGTCTAGCAGCCAAAATCCTAGGGGTTAATACATTACAATATCATATCATTAGTTAATATAATTAGACATCAACTAAAACAAATATCAGACGAATTACTGTGATAAAATATGAATTATCCCATGTTCTTTTAAATGTATCATTCCTCTCTAAAATTACTGAATATTAGAAAACTTTATTATCTGTATCTATGTTAAGTCCATTTATTTTTCTGGAATGAACTAAATTCACTAGTTTTATATTATTTTTGCTCAAAATTTAAAATAAAAATTTTATAAAATGTTAATATAAAAGAGATAATCAGACACCTTCTTTTAAGCGGAAAAAAACCAATAGCAGTTTTGAAAATTATTTCATTTGGAAGGCAAAATTGTAATTTAGGTGTTCATTTCTACCAACTTTCCACCAAGTATGATACCTCAGAACTGAGAGAACCGCTTTACATTTTTTAGTTCCTAAAGAAAGAAAATGCTTAGAAGTCCTGGGTATCTTACTGATTACATTTATGTAGAAAAAGGTGTGAAGGTCATTTGTCAGAGTTTTCATCTCATTCATAACCTTTGACTACAATGGTTAGAGATACCATAATTGAGAAAATCAAAAAGCAAACACATCACCCACTTCTAATTGTTTTCAATGTGTACCCCTACACCAAGAGAAAGGAAGAATATTCCTTCTCCTCTAGCTTATATAGTATGGCTCCCAAAATGAAGAGAGAGTCTATAAACATAGACTATAGTTTTTAAACATAGTTAATTTAACTATTAGGCTTTTAAAAATGGCTTTATGAGATGGCCAATATAGTCAAGCATAACAACCTTTCTCTCTGTAAGGTTTAATGAATATTCTACACTTCTAACAAATCAAAATTTGGAAACTGGAACTTGCATGCAAATTGGTAGAAATTCATGCTTGTTAAAGCATTTGTACATTGAGCATAGCTGGATAATGAGCAGTTGTTTTTGAATATAGAAAAACTACGGGGACATGTTTGCTGGGTCTCCAGAGCATATGATGTAAGTGATGACTTCTGAGGGAATAAGGAATGTGTTCTGGGAAAAGCCTTCTTCTCTATGTGTGGCCCTCATTAGACAAGGGACTTCCTTCTCTCCGACACCTGGTGAGGGAAAACAATTTTTCACAAGATAAGTAGACACTGTCCTCCCAAAGATATTCTTATATGTTTATTATTTTACTAGTATGCTTATCATGTACCCTTTGAGAAAAACTAACAGCATTACAAGGCAGATAATGCAGAGGTTAGATGAGTTGTTCTTAGAATCCAATTGTTTCTCAATGAACTTCAAGTTATTAGTAGTATGTAGTTTTTTTAATTAATCTTTTATTTATTGATTTATTTATTTGGTACAGGGTCTCCCTCTATAGCTGGAACTCATAGTGATCCTCCTGTCTCAGCCTCCCCAGCACTAGGGTTACAAGCGTACACCACTACACCTGGTTTCAGTGGATGGCACAGTATGTCTGGGCCAGTGTAGCATGTGGTGCCAGGGATTGAACTTGGATCCTTGAGCTTTCCAGGTAGGTACTTAGACTGAAGAGCTATCTGCCAGCCAGAATGTAGTCTATAACTTCCATTTCTGATTAGGAACACTAAAACTATTAGACAAGATGCCCACATCATGAGCCTCAGCAATAGTTGACTAAATAGTGGACTTTTAGAAAGAAAGAAAGAAAGAAAGAAAGAAAGAAAGAAAGAAAGAAAGAAAGAAAGAAAGAAAGAAGGAAAGAAACAACCAACCATAATACTACCAAGGTCAAGCCCATGGATTTACTCATCCTTCCCTTATTTAAAAGAAAGTAAGACATCCCAAGAACTGAAGACAGGTAATCTTTGGTTGTCAGTAAAAGGAAGTGCCTCTCCTTGGAATTAGCTTAGATACCCATCAAAAGATCAATGGATAAGTAAAGCATGGCATATTTGCACAATGGAATGTTTATTCAGCCATAAAGAAGAAAGGAATCATGTCATCTGTAGAAAAATGGGTGGAAGGGCCGGTGAGATAGCTCAGCAGACTAAGAGCTGGCTTTGGCAAGCACAGGGACCAGGGTTTGATCTCTGGTTCTACATGCAATGCTGGCCCTGCCCCCAGAGCACACTGAGCCAGCAACCGAGTCCAGGTGTGATGGTGCACACCTGTAATCCCAGTGCTGGGGAGGCTGAAAACAAGAGGATCACTATGAGTCTGAGCTGCATAGTGAGACCCTGTACCAAATACATAAATTTAAGGAAAAAGAAAAGAAAAAGAAAAATGGGTGGAGCTAGAGACCTTTTAAGGAAAATAAGTCATACACAGAAAGATAAGTATCACATGTTTTTTCTCTTATGTGATATTTTTAAAAATGACTTGAAAGTAGTATAGGGGCTAAAGGGGCTGGGAATGAAAGGAAGAGGAAGATAAGAAAGGGTAGTTGAGAAGGCATGTATGATCAAAACATAATCTATGAATGTATAGAAATATCACAGTGAAACCCATTAATTTGTATAATTAATATCCATTAATAATTGCAAGTTAATAAGGAAATCATAAAATGCATCAACTCTCAGTCTGGCAGAAATTCCCCTCAGTGGAAAATAGGCAGGGCTGCCATAACTGATGTTGCTCATACAGGAGGCACACCTCCAAGCACTGGACAAGGATGAGAAAGTATATTGTGTGCTCAGCTTGTCTAGCCCTGTCCCTGGCAATGATTTACACAAAAAGGGCCCTGTTATTTCTTGTACAAGGGTTCTCTATTACTGTGACCAGCATCTTCCCAATTGTGTCCATCTGTGACCGTGCCAACAACAGCCAATTTAAAACAGTCGTGCCTCAGCATCCATAGGGCCTTTGTTCCAGGATCTATAGATATTAACATCCTTGAATGTTTATACAATAGCAACAATGTTTGTTTATAACCTATGCATATATACTATATATTTTTTCTTTTTCTTTCTTTTTTTTGTATTTTATGGAAGGGTCTATAGGGTGTTCAGGGTCTCACTACTAGATTGGACTCATAGTGATCCGCCTGTTTACAGCCTCCCAAGAGCTTACAGGCATGCGACACCACGCCCAGTCTCAATTGCTGTCTCAGCACACCCTGGGGGCGGGGGCGGCATGACCCCTGCACCTGCTTGCGGGGGCAGCATGACCCCTGCACGTGCTTGCAGGTGCTTTAATCTGCTGAGCTATTTGGCTGGCCCCTCCTCTTATATTTCAAGTCATCTCTAGATTATTTATACTAATTCAATGTAACTTCTAAGTGAACACTTTTATACTGAAGCTCTTAATGATTCAAGATGTTTCAAGACATCTGTTTACTAGGAGATCACTCAGCTAACCAAGAACACAACACAGAACATGGACTTTCACAGAATTAATCAAAGCAATTCACTAAACCACCTAAAGACAGCAGCAGAAGCAAGAAATAGCAACAACTGACCCTGGGAAGGTGCAACAATTTTAGTTGCCACATGATGTCATTTTCAATGCTTCATTTTTAATAATTATGAGGCATATGGGAGATACAAGAAGGTACAGCCACAATATAAGGAAAAGAGTTGGTAGAAATTCCATAAGGAATCTCAGCAAGTACATTTCCAGAAAACAAAGGTGCTGCTATAGCAAAATATTCACTAGAAAACTAAGTGTTAAAAATATATGTAAAGTCTCAAAAACCTCTGGGATATCATCACAAGTACTAACATATACAGGGATTCCCAAAAAGAGACAAGATAGAAGAATGAGTAAAAAGAATAGTTTGAACAATAATGCTCAAAATTTTAACAAATTTGATGAGAGGCATGAATCTACACATTGAAGAATCTCACTGGTCTAAATAGGCTATTGCGGAGAGGACTATATGTAGATAATCAAGCAGTAAGAGAAAATCAAGTCATTACAGACAAGAGTTTCCCAAGAAAGTATGTAGCTTAGTTTCTAGAGACTAAGGAGGTCAGAGGGCAGTGTGATGACATATTCAAAGTGCTGAAAGAGGAGTGCCAGCCAAGAATTCTATATTTAGGGAAATGATACATCAAAATTGAAGGCTAAATAAAAGCTAAGAGAATTGATTGTCCAAATACTAATGATATAAGACATACTAAGAAAAGTCCGGGCAGGGGGGCATGTTCCTGTAATCCCAGCACTAGGGAGGAAGAAAACAGGAGGACCACTACAAGTCTGAGCTGCGTAGTGAGACCCTGAACAACAACAACAAAAAGACATACTAAGAAAACCTTAAGGCCTAAATGCAAGGATACTAAATAGCAACTCAAATCACATAAAGAAATAAAGTACGGTACATATAGCGTTATACAGAGAAATGCATGAAAGAGTTTAAATGTACTTTTGTTTGTAACTATTTTCTTTTAGCTGACTTAAAGGATAATTACATGAGACAATAATTTTAAGACTGATTTGGTTTCATGTCAATAATAGTATAAAGGGGGGGCTGGAGAGATGGCTCAGTGGTCTAAAGCACGTACTTGGAACAAGCTTGGCAAAGCACAGGGACTG